AGTGATTACGTCTGTGGCATTTCCACCGATTCTCTGCCACCTCACCAAGTTTCCAGCCATTAATTCCTATTATCTGAAGGACGCCAACTGGGTCCTTCACACTTACCCATACGGCTGAGACCAATAGTCAGATAATTCCCAGAGTGGTTTCACTTGGTGTGGTTACCATGAGTCTTCTTCCAACCTATCCTACCTCTAGCACTGCACATCGAGATAGGCGGTGGCACTGCTTGCGCAACACACATATAAGCCACCTCAGTCAACAAAGACTCACAGCTTGCCATATACCTCTGATTATGCATAACTTTTGCCAGTTGTTTTGTCATAACCTTAAAATAGCCTACATGGCTGTTTTCACACCGATACTAGTTTTTCTTCCCTCTGCTCTCAAGGCCGAACTTTCATTGGTTGCTAACTACTTTTGCCTGTGTGATTTAGTGTTTTCAAGGTCACTTAGAAATGTATATATTCAGTATTACTGTCAACTGTATTGACTTGTGAAAACAGTAAAGCTCTCTGCCAACCGTCTGTCTTCTCTTCGTGTGTCCGTGGTACGTTGTGGTGATGGTTGGCGTCTTAATTTGCGTTTTAGCGTTAGGTTCGTAGTCTGCTAGGCTGGCAGACTGTTACGTCGTAATACCAGTCGTAGTACAGCCTTACCGACCGACTTGCCTAGTGCGCTTAGCGTAACCTAGACATTGCTAACATATCATGATCCCAACATAAGCCAGCAAAGCAGTGAAAACACCTGTGGTTAGAAACCTGTAACCCCTCTATATCTACTAACTTCAGTGGTCATCGATCACAGATGGATAACAAGAGAGAGCAAACTACAAAGCAGTGTACTCGTGCTTTAACAGGTAATCAGGCGGTAGAGATCATGCAAGTTGGTGAATACCAAACAGGCCTTCTGTATGTGACTACAGATTTTTTCAGTGACACATCTGTTAGGGCTGATGCAACTAAGTAAAAAACGTGAGGAGGTCAAAGAATCCTACAACTTCATTCCCCTTCCTTAAACTAGGGGTTAGACTATTCCTCAGGCACCATTTTATACGTGGCACGTGCAGAATGCATGCTAGAAATACGCAGATTTCTGTTCAAAACGTCCAGAAGACCCTGAATTGTTTCACTACTCTCATCTAGCAGGAAAATTTCGTCTGCGTATCCAATTCAACCACATGCCCCTCAGGAAGTAGGTCAACTCCAGTTCTCGAGCTCTAGTTAGGCGTTGGATGATTTGTGACTGGTAACACCCTCTTTGAAGTGTCAGGCTACAGATCTATACCGTATACCCAGGAGTATAGTATTTTCAAGCAGACCACTTAACGTGTGTATTTTCCCGTAGACAAGGCAGTATCAACATGGGTGATCATCCAAGGAAAACACCTTACTGTTGTTAAACCCTATCCAGCCAACAGCACGGTATCGCCCACAGAACATCATCATAGCACAGCAATTTACAGTGTCTGTAAGGGTTTTTCACCTTAGTAACAGATCTTTGCGGTATGATAAAACCTCAAGGAATAAGCGTTCCAGCCAATGTAGCTCGTTGGGTCATCGTGATATACAAGCCCGACCACTACGTCAAAGTACTAACTATTAGTAGGGAAATAAGACAGCCACTCAAAATTTATGTGCAACTAGTCATAACGGAACAATCGAAAAATACAATCACAGTGGAGATTATTACAGTAAGTCAACTGGCGATAAATTTCCACAGATCACTTCACTTTGCTGATGAGTCTGTTTAGAACGACGACTAAGGCTTCATGACTAAAATATTTAGCTCAGATAGGCAGGGGAATATCAGATGCTGACATTGATGAATAGTACCGAAACCCAGGCTGAAAATTGACGTAGGTAAACGAAGATATATTTGAGAGAGATCCCTTCCACACGTATATGTACAGGAGACGTAAGTGCTTATTTAAATCAGATGTAATAAATAAAGTCGATGTTTTCCACATGACCAGTTGTTGCCAATGTTGAACGACCAAGTCCCTTGTCCAGCTACCCCCTGCTGCGTTTATCAGAGCAACTGGTCCTATGCAGCCAGTTATTTCAACCGATACTCTAGGGATTTTCCATTCACAGGAAAGTCTGCCAGCGTGGTTAAATAAAGGTGCAGTGAAACAATGCAATACCAGCCTACTTATTAAAACAGATCATAAACCCAATACCGACCAATCATTCAGCGTATCTTCGACAAATTACCAAAAGACAGTGAATATTCCAAACAATGAAAGCTTTAACCGTTCGGCCTGAATTATGGGTACAGAAGAAACAGGTACATCCATTACTACTACCTTGGTTAGCTTTGAATCCAAAAACTCTTGAGCAACGTGTCACGTCGGCTTTTTGAAATATAAACTTTCAAACAGCTTGCACACATCCCGTCACCCCTTTCCAATAATCTTAAAATTCCCGAGACTTCCATTTTATGTTCACATGCATTTGCACAAATTGACCCACTACTTGGTGTAGACTCGCTGTTTGTCACATTTACACACAAAACACTCCTCTAATAATTCATTTCCCTTCTGTATATGGCAAGCTTTATTCATTTGAATTTCATGATCCAGGGGATTAGATTTCACGCTGTTTCAATTACACTCAGTCAGCACTATACATCTAACTGTCGTTCATAATCATTTGCTCTCTGATGTTGATCACAATTAGTGTTCCATAAGGCATACTATTATTTACTGTACATCATTAATTATTCTGAATCAAATTCCGGTAACGTTTGATTCTGATATTGTCTTTTAAATGTCTTTCCTAAAAAGAATTCCTAGACTACTTAATATTAACGACGGGCTTTAATACAAAACTTTACTGTTACTAACAAAAACTTATTCTTTGATTCAATGTTATGGATATGTAGATGTGAAATCTGAAGAAGCAGTTATTGAAAAGAATATTCTTTGTTCCTGAAAGACTTTTGTACCATGAAAAAATAATATCAATGCGATAAAGATAACATGAAAGTTGTAGAAAGCTATCATCAAGACAGCAAAAACACAAGCATCTACTAACACAATTGTAATTGTGACAGCATATACCAGCTTGATTCGGAAACCCTGCAGTGAAAGTAGTGAAAAGTTCAGTCCTAGAGCATCTAGTTGACATAGGGCATTACATAGATACTAATAAAGCTTTCATTGTCATTCATTGTGTTCCGAAAACGACACCACGTGTAGCTCGCCAATGCCTGTTCGACATAGCGGAGGCTGTCGCAATAAGATTGATAAAGCCTGAACTCTGCATTTAGAAAGAACATGTATTCCAAGCGTTACTTCTCTCTTGGCCTTCAGTTAACCAAAGGCCATTCATGCCATCTTATTCGTTATGTTTTTGTTCCCCATCATATCATTCTTATGTACATGCATCATCCCAATATTGCCTAATTTAAAAAAGATAAATCGATTCCCTTACAGTCCCTAGATCTCTTTCTATTTTGAAAATGTAACTGCCCATAACATGGCTAGTTTTTTACGCTGTACAAATGCATTTTATAACTGTAGAACCTGAAGACAATTTATTCAAAAGAATATTCTTCGTTCAGATTGTTGCTTTCTTCAAAATGATGGTTATCACTTACATGAGTCACAAATTTCTTACAATACATTAACCCCACTTATCGCATTATCTACATTTTTAGATACTGAGGCCAGACCAGATTACTATGCAGAACATACAAGACCAGATCATTCAACGACAAGTCGAACACATTAGTTGCGAATGTACTTCCACTTCAACAAAGGAACCTAAAAATAACGATTTAGGTGTATACAAACCAAAATGAGACCAGTTTGCGAGGATAACAGATGCTTCAAGTGAAATAATATGACTACGAGTCTATGTTTATGTATACGTACACTGTAACTCCCTGTTTATCATACACACCACCAATGATTTCGTGACAGTATCCTAAACTTCTACTACACTATATTGAACTCCTTTCCCATCTGTGTTTACAATTAATACCAAGAAATTCAAAACACATCAGTGGAACAAAAATATTACATTCATGAAAACTTATCAACATCAGTTTAATAAATCGCAGACAATCAAGTAACAAAAAAGATGCAAGTAGATCTAAGTATGTGCGCGTTGATACATATTAGAACAAGTGAAAAAAGAAGCAAAAATAACTGCTGGAAAATTTAATAGTACAACAATATAATTCATAGTCTACATATGTACATACGTGAGTCTATCCGGAGGTGCGTAAGCCAATTTGCTCTCCCCTGCTCTTTATTGCAATACGAATCATAATGATGATGGTACTAATAATAACAAAACGATATGAATAAATCAGACTCAATAACGGGCGCATACATGCATAAACCAGCTGGTTATCGGTAAACAATAAGAAAACATATGACGTGAAGAAAAAACAGGAATAAAAAAACTGGAACAAAACAGTTGGAATGGATATTTTATTTCCCGAGGTTTGTTAAATTATTTAAACATTTTATCTGTGTGAAAAAGTTAATGAAAAGTGTTATTATTATGATTACAGTTAATAATCAAGAAAAGTGTTGCAACTATCGACATTTCATACAGAAAAGGTGAAGACGTCATACAACAGAACATACAAACAGCAGGAAAAAAGTAAAGAGAAATAAGAAAAGGGAAATTGAGGTATTTTGATGACAGCCACTGTATAGACATAGAAACCATGCCATGCACACTCACATACGTAAGCAACAACTGTTCATCCATCAATAACCAATAGAAGTCAATATTATTATTAAACGGAAAATTTTCTAACCCCCCCCCCCAAATAAAAATGCAAAATTGAAGATTGTGTTTGATTCTAAATGAGCAATCAAAATAAACAAAAAAAAAAGGAATATTAGAGTTCAAACAAATCTAGATGCTCAAAAGTTTAACATTTGGAAAAATTTATACTCAAAGATGAAAGAAAAGTAAGCATGGCGGTGATCATTATTGGGACTAATCATACAAGATAAAATATACATAAAATTGATTTACTGATGAGATTTCAGCACATTTGGTCCCTCTTCAGCAATCAAACTATCTGCACGTGGCCATTGTACTCTAGGATTTGTAGATCTTGAACGGCTGTCTTGATGTGAATGACTAGTGGTACCATCTGTTGAGTTATGAAGACAAATTGATTGTACCAGTGGCTTATTAGTACTTCTGTTGTTTCTATATCTAGTTTCTCCGTTACTTGAAGAATTAGCTCCTAATCCTCTAGACGATGAGTTTGCTTGGGTACGATTGTCATTTGTATCGCGAGGTGTGGTTGGTTTACTTGTAAATCTTTCTACTATATGCTTGGGATGTCTAGTCCATTTAATCATGGTCTCTGACGATCGGTAGAGGAAGAAAAGTTTAGCCACTAACTGTTCTTCTAAAAGAAGTAAATTGTTTTCACGTACAAGATATATTTCATGGCATAGATTTAAAATTCGATCAACATGAGGCAATTCTTCCAAGCGAATTACGTAGGAAATATTGCTGTACATCGTGCGCAGTAAACGACTAGCCAAAAAGATATATGCTGCATACATACCGATGATTCTGTAAAATAAGAAAATATGATTAGAACTATTCTCCATTTCCTAATTGGAAATGACCAGTTCTCAAAACATTTTCTAGAACATGAGAAATTCCAAGTTCACATATAAACAAGTTTGGGTACAACGTTAAAGCTGAAATATAGCTTTCAGTTTCACTAAGGTCCTACAACTCTTCAAAAGTTAGCTGGAGAGATTAGTTCGTTGTTTCATGTACATCAATATCCCCAGAAAATAAGCTTGCCTGAAACCGATGAGAGAGTTCAAGATTTGTAGTTCTCATTGTTTCCTCTCATTACGCTGGAAAGATGGTAAGCCAGTCTGAAAAACAAATGTGATTTTAAAACTACCGCTACACATAAGCTGTGTGAAGTTTATTAAATGACGTAATATTAAAATGAATAATTTCAAGACGGAGATTTTAACAGCTGAAGCCCGTTTACTAGACGTAAAACTTGCAATTTTACCTGCACCTTCTACGGTGTTCAAAGGTTAGACGACTAGTTTGCTGAGTACCAGCCAATTAATCAAGCTATCAGTACGATTGTGTGTCCAGTTCCAGATCTTATAATATAAAAATGTTACTTACCTGAATTCTATGACAAATTATCAATCAGACAGTGGCCGGGTACAACTGCGTAAGTCTCGGCTATCCCATTTCACATCAGAGCAAAAGACAACAAAAGAGAAGAAGAAGATGGGAGGAAGAGTAGACGAGACTTGTAGAAGGTCACAAGAAGAAAAGAAAGGGAGAAAAAGCAAAAAAAAAAAAAGAAAAAGGTGTGGATGCATCTGCATAACTGAGGTCAGTTCTGGACCACTTCACCTGAAACCTGCAGTCATTAGTTTTGCGTTGTCATACAGATTCCAATCTGGAAATCCACGTGCAATAATCATTTGACCTCAACTCTTCATAAAACCAGAAGGCATCATCTTTCAATGAGCTTAAAAGTAAATTGCAACATTACACATAGATTTACTATCAAGCATTACTAGTGGTAATACTAGTACCACATTTTTATTTAAAAAATGAAGTACGTCAAACGTATTGCGTAAAGGCCAGTGAAAGTATAAACTTGCACAAACCCAGATACTTGAAGCGAGTTATGAATGGGTGACCGAATGGTTGACAGTTCAACAGAAAATCTAACGGCTGTAGCAACATGTGAAGAGAATTTAAGATATTCCAAAAAATCATCCTATGTTAAGCTTCTATCATACACAAAAGTCAAGTGAAACTCTGTTGACAAAACAAACTCTATAAAAATCATAAAATCTGAGAAAGACATCATCAATCGAAATAATAAAAAAACAATTAAGATTAATATTTGTAACACATTAACTAAATTACCCATAATTGTTGAATACTTTGCCAAAAAGACTATCAGATACACGCTCATTGAAAGTGATTATCGATAATACCTGGGCATCAATAGCATTACTACTTAATGTTGGATGTCGAATCACATCAAAACATGGATCAGATGATGGACTAACAACTTTTTCTCTTAATTCCCACCACGCTTGACGTCTCATTTGATCTTGATGTATGTAGAAGCTAACATTTACATAAGTGTTTTGACTACCAAAAAAGCATAAGCACCACGAAGTCGATCTTTTTTAAGTAGAACATATCTTGGCAATACAGCATTCAGTGTCACAGAATCAGTTGTGGATTCAGGCAACTTGGTAATAAAACCGTTTAATGGCATACTGTGGCTGTTATTCATGAGTGTTTTTTGCACAAGATCAGAGGAAGGAAATATTGAGTCCGTTGAGTTCACTACCATAAGCAACTGTAATTTCTCTTCCGGTGTCAGTTTCCTGCTGAATATATCTTCTACTGATGTATGACTAGATTGGATTTCTTTCGTGGATCTGAAGAGGATAAAGTAAAACAGAAAAGACATTCGGAGCATAAGAATTCAAATAGCTCAACAAAGATGTAACCAATTTACGATCAAAAGCTATATCAGTCACAGAGTCACTGAAAATAAGGAAGTACTGCACACGTGTTTCCACATGTTCTAGGAATTCTTAACAATGTAAACCACTGCCACTATACAGGACCAAAAGAAATTGGTGAAATGATCACATCTTCCCAGTGAGTCACACAATAGACGTGGTTGAATACCCACTAATGTCCCCAAGGTTAATAAGATCATTTTGATTGATTTGATTTTACGCTTCATTCCTGAACATCGATATAGATTACTACCTGGTTTAGAAAATTCCAACAATATGGGCACTGACGTAAATATAGAAATTAGAAGGCACTTCTTCAATACACAAATGAAGAGGTAATGCTTCAAGGCAAATAAATATTTTTTCCAAGAGAAGTTTGAATCGCGTAATACGAATTCGCAAACGCAATGCAACGAATTAGGAAAACAAATTGATGCAGATAGAACAATATTTTTTGCACGCCTTATAAAGTGACTTATTGTTCTTGTCCAAACGAGTTTATAAATAGCCCCACTAAAATAATCATTTCTACATCACACAAATAAGAATTGACATTCCCATCCTTTAGTTACTGAAGTATTATACTGTCCATAGAATAGAAGAATTGTATTTCATCCCGTTTTATAGTATTTGACCAAAGTAGTGAACGGAGAAATTTTGTCCATCAAACTGAATACAATTTTTAGCAGTCTCAAATGATCCTGAAAATAAAACTCATCAAGTATTTTTTTAAAAACAACTAACTTATCAACACGAATGATGATGAAGTAAATTTAGAAGACAGATAAATACCTGCGACATTTCATATGGAAATGTAATAACAGATCTGAATCAGGAGAACTTAGTTTCTTCATTAATGCCTGATAAGATGGTGGTGTAATAGCCCAAATGTTTCCAGAAAAGCCATCAATCGTCACATAGCGAAGATCATTCCATTCAAAATTGTGCAAAAACCCAAATGTTTGCTTAAAAATGAAAACATGAATCTTAACATTACATACACACATCGTATGAACATTACACTGTAACAATAAAAACGGCAGTACACATATAAAAAACAAAAAATATATGATACAATCGGTCTGATGATAAATCCATCAGTGAGTTAACTAATTGATACCCGATTTGTTGCATTTAAGCGTTTCTCACCACCCAAATGCAAATTGCTCCAGGATTGGTCTTCAACGGTGCCCCACCGCGGCTAACAATAAAGAGTGAAGTGGTTGAGTGTGTCGACCACTTCACTTACCTGGGAAGTAGGATCAGCCCTGGTGGCTGGCTCAGTGGCCGATGAAATTTCTGCACCTATACAAAAGGCTCGATTGGCTTTTGCCAACTTACACCACCTGTGGCGCCACCGTGATATCCCATTGTCTATTAGGGGTCGCGTGTACTGCACAGCAGTTCGGTCTGTTCTTCTGTATGGCTGTGAAGCATGGCAATTGAAAGTGGAAGATGTGAGAAGGCTTCAGGTGTTTGACCAACGTTGCCTTCGTAGTATAGGCTGTATTCCGTGGTGTCACCACGTGAGTAAATCAGTTGACGAGGTTATGAACCTTCATCGATTGAGATGATTAGGACACGTGTTACGTATGCCTAGTCACCGATTGCCTCGTCACACAATGTTGACCGAAGTACGTTGAAGCTGGAAAAAGGCTCTAGGTGGCCAGACTAAAACATGGCACCAATGTATGAAGTCTTTGACTGTTGGTTTGAGCCATGTGAGGTGATACAGACTACGTGGTTGGGGTCGGCGGGACAAGATGAACCAGTGGTTGGAGACTCTAGGTGATATGGCTGTGAACCGATGTCAGTGGCGAAGATACATACAAACATTATACTCATCTTAACGACTCTATACCGAATCTCACCATTTTCTCATTCTTCCTTTCTCTCCTTTTGTACCTTATATTTCTTTCGACTGAATTTTCTCATCTTCATCTTGCACTTCACTGCCTTTTTACTTGATGTACTGATATGAGGTGTGGGAACTCGGACGGTTACGCAGTAATGCCTATGTTGATGATTGTTGCATTTAATAATTATCCATATGAAGAGAAAATGACTGGACAGTACCAAGGCGATAGCATAATCAGCTCTTGGAGCACAGAACACAGAAAGAGTAGGCTCTGTAGAAACCAATATATGATACACCTTAAAAACAGGAAACCATAGCGTTACACTTGTCTAACTGGTAAGATTCTATGTTTTTAGAAGATAGCTACTAAGATTAGATCTGATTAATATATGTATATAAACCCAGTAAGATGCCTTCAAAAAAAACCTTTTACATTTTACATAAATTTCCAGAAGCTTAACACTTCAATAGCGCTTTTACAAAATCGTAATCATAAATAGTTATTACATTCGAGTTTGTACGTTTTTCAGGTGTATCTAAGAATCAACAAAGTGTTCATAAACTAATTACCCATCAAATTGAATACAATAGAAATCTATCGTATTATGACTAAACCAGGAGGAGGTGGCATGAAATCGTAATGCACCGAATTTAATATCACAAGGCGGGATAAGTTGACAAGAATCGCAACCCCGATATTTCAGTTTCTTGGTACTCATTAACAGTAGATATGCAGAATCTGGATACATTAGTTCTTTGGTCAGTAAAATAGTTACATTATTCAGCATGAAAATGGTTGAAAACACACCCAGGAAAAGATTTTAAAAATATACAACTCTATATATACAGCAATATAATCCTGTCTCATATATCTAAATCAATAGAACTGGATCCAAATCTGATTTATGAACAGTTTCATTTAGCTATCGCCAAAGGCTAAATTATTGGGCTTGGCAGATTTCAGTCACAAATGAGATATAAGTTTCTGCGATGTGGTAGATTTATCATCAGGACAAAAAATTAATCAAAGGCTTTTCTTTCATTATCTCTACATGCGTCAAACACTACTCAGACGAACAAGCATGTCAGACGCTATAACCATTTTGATGATTAGTAGTGGAATCTAGGATGCCCTGGATGTACCTGCACACCAGTGAGTAATGTTGTTCCCACTGAGAGTGGGACCCAGTACTCGTCACTTCAAACGCCAAGGCGCTATCCACTAGGCCACTGAGACACGGCAGGTATATCAGACGTTTACTGAAATCAAAACGTGAAAATCATAACGATGTCGTATGATGTTCAGGTTCGCCACTTTAATACTACATGTGTCAAAAAGTATAAGCACTACATCTTCAAAAACATTCAATAAAAAAAATATATTCCTGATAGACACAAAGATTGCTCTCAATGTACGCTGGTAATTCAAAATTGCACACAATAATGTACAAAATGAGGATTTCTTAAAAAAGCTTTTTATCGAATAAATAAAGACAATGTAGTTCTCAACCTAATTTTGTAAAAGTCATACTAGCTTACCTTGTCTTTTTCATGACAACGAATGAAATTACTTAATGCAGATGCATTAACAGTAAATATGTTTCCTTCACGTGAAGTAAATTCAAACGTGGGCTGTTAAAAGAAATAGAAACAGAACTGCAGTAGAAATAAATTATAACACTATTTCAAGTAATATGATGTATAACGAAGCAAATCAAAAGGAGTATGACCTCAACAGATTACATCCTTTAACTCGGATTAACCGATATGATACCATGTAATACAGAGCATCTACCAAATGAAGTTTAATCAGCGGCCTTAATCATGTAACGAGGTGTTTTACTTGAAAAAATTTTTGCGTTTTAGGTGAGTCTCTCTTCACCTACAATACTGTGGTAGGATACAAGGAATGCTAAGTATGGAGCTTGGTTACATGTCAATTTGATCTTCATAAAAGATTTGCATATAAGGTATTCCCCTTGCCAATAACGATGTATTACCACTCTTCATTCATGAATCTAACTATCTAGGCATTTTTATTAGCTACTCATAACTGTAGAAAAATCAGGTAAAATAATAACGTCTTGATACTTGAAGGCTGCAAAATTGCTGGCTAAGTAATCAAAAGTTTCAGGCGGCTATGTAATGAAAATACCAGGAGGAAACTATAACGAATACTGATATATCACACAATGCCAAATAATCAAAGATACCCCCCCTCTCTACAATCTTGTCTCAGTTTGCCATAGACATATTTATGGAGTTCTTGTCGTTTGATTCTACGAGGAACAACCTTGTGACAAGAGACACCTTGGTAGACCTCTAGTATATGTGACATAGTCCTGTTAGGGTGAAGACGCTGACCGTATGAACAGTCTTCTGGACAACTTGAGTGGGGACTCGAGAATTTTCGGGATGCACTCCTCAGTACGTGGATTAAAATGATTACTTAAGGGCTGACCTGCATTGGTGTTCCATCTAACAACTGGGATTGAAGTGATTGATCGAGTCGAACATTCCGCTCAATCGCGAAGTCGAACTAGCCCCGGAGGGTCAGTGACCGACGAAACCTTTGCACAGATACAAAAAGTCAAGCTAGCTTGCACTAACTTACGCCATTTATGGTGCCGCCATGGTGTTCGATCGCCTACTAAGGTCAGAGTGCACAGTGCAGCCATTCTATTGTATGGCTGTGAAACATTACCACGAAAAGTAGAGGACATGCGAAAACTTCAGGATTACAACCACTGCTGTGTTCTCAGAATAGGTTGTGTTATGGTGCGATCATGTCAGTAAGGTAGAAGTCATGGAGAGGAAAATCAGTTGATGAAGTTGTGAAACTTCATAGAATGACTTAGACGTGTGTTAAGTATGATGTCACAGTCTATCCTGTCGTATAACTTCAGTTAACATTAGTTAACTGAAGTAAGTTCTCTATTCACGACTTTCTTGCACTTTGACTACTTTCTGCCTTTTATCTCTATCTTTTATCATGGTGCATTCTTATTTGATGTGCTGCTATGATGTGTGGCAACTTGGGTTATTAGACAGTAATTCCAGGTCTCGTTTTGATGCTGACCTACAGAACGATGTCAAAGCTAAATTAAGCTCTGAGCCAAGGAGAAATGTTGCAAATAGATAGTTCTACACGTAAAGAGTACTGATCTAAGTAGTATATTCAGCAGTGAAACCAAACTATTTATTAGTTTAACGGAAGTGCATAGAAAATACTACTTATAAACTCCATGCAAAAAAGTATTCAGCATTTGCTGCTGCAAACAAAAATTGTGTGACACAGTTGCTGAATGGAAAAGTACATGTGATCACAAATGACTTTCAGGGGTGAAATTCAAGTAGACTGTAATTGACTACGATAATAAAGAAGTACTCTTCATACTCTGGTAGTACCTAACTAGACATTTGCAGACAGTTGTTGAAATTACTCTTAGAAATGGTTGACTCAGGACATGGAATCCATACATGAAATCTCGCTGTGACCACTGGTATGGGTTACCTCAGAAAGTGCAGGACAGAACAACAGAAGAGTTGATCATACTTGTAGCTGACTTGTAGTTGACTGTTTATTTATTTTTTTTGGTGCATAAAATTTTTCCCATTAATCTTCTTTTTGTCTTTAATAGACTTTTTTGTTTGGTATTTCTAACTACAACAACCTTGACAAACGTCCAACTGCATTAGACTTTGCATAATTTCATCATGTTATTCAGTAGATGATACAACTAACACCTAAGTAAAATGTTTAAAGCGTTCAATTGACGTGAATAACTAAGCCAAAACAGATAATTAGCAGGCATTGACCACAACTCTAGTTTACCATAATTCTACAAATGAATCATATGAAATTAGATATGGATTATCACATGTACAAGTGAAATAAAACACAAGGTATTAATAAGTATATGCACAAAGTCCAACAAATTTCATGACCTAAAACACCAACTAGATATGTCTCAGCAGTAAACTGAAACGAAAACATGGAATGTAATAAAACCTTAAAAATAGCTATTCATTTTCAGCATAGAACTTCGCATCAACATACATGCAAAAATTCATAGAGAACCAGTTTCATGAAAATAATGAGCTGTATGACGCTGCTATGCTATATCATGAAGAGTACATACAATTTTGTCTAAAATCCTAATTGACACAATTTTATTTAAAACAATTAGTTTCCTTTATGAAAAAAAGCTAAGCCTGTATATTCTTCTAAACCCTTACAACATACGAAAGACCATGTCACACCCCAATGCATCTACCACTTCAAATGTACGCGTGTGGTAACACATACACAGGGAGGACTCATAGATCCATACAAGTAAAGGCTTCGGAGCATATTTCCAAAGTAGCTTCAGAAGTAAACTGAATCAGCTGAAGCTATAAACGTTGGTAGCAGACGTCAAAGTTCTACGATCGAGAAACATATTGCTGAGACAGGTCACAGGAATGACGTTGCTACCCCTATAGATCTATTCAAAAAATGTGTTGAGGACGGATCCTTCAATTTGTTGATGATTTACCTTTCAGGAAGTTTAAACCACCTTTGTGTTCAAAAACAACTTGTTATTAAATTAAATCTCCCTTGGTGAATTCAACTCTGAAACCAAGTTCGATGTACTGTTTATTTTCGTTCTATTCATTTTCACTTTCATTAGGCCTTTAATTCATCCTTCCTACTTGACCTCTTTCCATTTTCTTACTGCTTATCCTTATGAATTTTCATATAAATACCTATAACAAGTACATGTGTGATTAGATTGTTCGAAATATGTTGCGCAAATACATTACACGATTCAGACAATTTACGTCTTCGTATTTTTTCGAAGGACAATTTTATTTGATAGCCATATTTGATAGAGTATAATAATACGCTAAATATAAAAGACGATTTAATCTTCAGTTCTAATGGAATCTTGATGTTTATTAAGTGTTGTATGGTCAGCATATGAGAATACACTGTACTTAGTATGAAATGTTTACCTCACAGACAAGTTTTAATCGATTTAATAACTTAGAGATTAGAAGAAGAAACCAACCAGAATCACTAATTCCAATACTTCTACTTTTACAGTTAAAAATGATTCATAAAAATTACGTGATTCTGCCTATTGTTAGATATAGAGTATGGAGCTGAGCTATCAGCAAGTTTGTACACTTTCAATTTCACAGTTGTGTAGTCAGAAAACTTCCTCGGTTGGAATCAAAGGTGAATTAGCAGCATTTAATTTCCGCATCAAACATTTACTGCACAGAGATAAGACAAAAAACTGAAGAATGGTCTAAAATTGTTAAAAAGTGAGATAGTATATGCTTTAGTAGATTTGTCACACAGTTTACTCAGTACTTGCAGTAAATAAAAACATAAAGGCAATTTCATTACAACGTACTGGAAACCCTCCGAATGAGAAACTGAAACTACACAAGACGGGTGGATTCACATCGAAGGTAGCACCAATGAATGAAGTCAAAGCCATTGGACCCCAAAAACAGATAAAGAAGAACGCCAACAACAAACCGCCAGTGAGTGCTTTTTTACTGGCATCTCGATTTTGTCCCCTTGGAGTAGGGTAGGCAAGTTCAGAACGACGCCAACACTTGAGAATAAATATCTTGGAGTAAACATCCTCCAACTCCATCCAGTGATACAAAGACAATGCACTACTCGTCCACATCCAATCCATAACATTTCGTAATTCGTACAAAAACGGTATAAGTAAATATCTAAAGAGATGAAGAGAAACACAGTAAGTTTATTCAACGACTTAATCCCTATATTACACACAAGTAGGTCATATATATAATCTGGTGCTCCCCGTACAGATCCTTATTATTATCTAGACATCGGTAGGTTATAATTTAAACAAGATGTCAAAACATCTGGAAAAGAAGTTACAACCGTAAGCAAATATAGATGAAACACGTGTGATAGTCTTGGTTGTGTTCTCTGAGCTGGATGGTTCAATCGTGGAGCCTTTATTTTCTTTCTAGACAACATCATCAGCATTAACTTCAATATGAAGTTAGCTATCAATATCTCTCCATGAGTAATTTAGTAGCCTGTCCTGAAAAAATGGACTTTGATTTGTTGTCTCCCTTGATTATTGTGTCACTGACTACATAGATTTTTATTCTATTTCTCTCATTGGTTGGTAGATTGGGTCCATGTAAGGACGCAGAGCGATATTGATAACTCACTTCATATTGAAGTTATTGTTCTAGGAGGAAAACGAAACCTCCACGAATAAACCATCCAGCTCAGAGAACACAACGCAACCAAGATCATTCACCTGAGCTACAAGTATTCTCTACGTGTGTTGACCACCTTTTCCCTAGAAATGCAAACGTAATGATCTGAATGAAATGTAATAGGTATCGAATAGACAGTCTATCAGTATGTAATTAATACCAATGAATCAATTTTAAGAAAAGTGAAAGCGTTCATGGGGAAGCTGAACAGGAAAATTCCTGAATGCTTTGAAAATTGACAACACTTCCAACAATTACATGTGAGAACTGCTACTCAAGTTCACTGACAATAGGAAACGAAATCCAACTTACCCTTTGAATAAAACTAAATTGATATAATTGTAGTTCTTCGTTAAAAAGTTTCCCAATATACGGCGAGGATAACCACTACGAATTTGATAGGCGGACAAGGAAAAGTACACGCACTTGATCAAATATAATAATTGAGGCGCCAGACCAGAAGTGAACGGGCTAAATGAAAAGACACTCACTTTTGATTACTGAGCACAAAATGTAGAATAGAGGAAATAAGTTTAGAAATATAGAGGATTAATGCGGGGAGAAATCAAAACATCACAGATCCAACCCAATAATAGGTGAAGTGAAAAATGACAGATACACAGTGATAAATAATCACCAATATCTGTCTCATAAAGCTGATGGTTACAAATCAGTGACTGAATACTCTTAAAAGATCTCTCAAAATTTAAAAGTATAATGTCTCCATCCTGTTCAAAGTGAAGTGATGTACACAACTGCTTGTATATGGTAAAGAAATGTTCATAGGAAGGTAGCAACATAATGGCATTTGCAGTTCAAGCAAATGATTTTGAAGACGGTATCCGTTTTACGCTTTATTGATTTATATGTGATAATTAAATCTACGCAACAACGTTTCTCTCCAGTGAAAGAATAAACTTTCTACAGATAACTGAAGAACGTAATGAAATCTGATGAATCAACAATTTCTGTATAAACTTTTGGTCTCGACTATGCTTCTAGTTGAAACTAAATGAAAAATACTTCAAAATGTACGAAGGAAACTATTTTTGGTATGAATTCAGAATATTTACTTTGTTTTTCGGATCAACTGCATCATTGTCAGAGACTTCCCTATAGAGTTTCATCATTTTTTCTCGCCGGTAATAACTTATTCTAATAAACTAAACCATTGTAACACTAATTCAGTTAAAAATAATCCCACAAATATTCATAACTTACGTTCTTGTAATATTTGGCAAGATGAAAAACAACCATCCATGAATTAATACAACATGAATAATTTGAAATATGAACTTTCCAAGAACGTGTTTTTGCAAGAATAACCCTCGATCAATTATAATGAAGATGAATTGCACAAGAAGCATTGAAATAAATGGAAGAGGAATCTGTAAATGGCATTCCAAAAAAAATATGAAATATTCAGTATTCCTTGCATGAGAGGGCTTTAGTAATGGTTAAATTATCTATTTGTGATGTGATACACTCAATTAGATGAGTGAAAATCAAGTTGATTCGACAGAACTGAAGCCATATAAGACTTTTTCTTATATATATATATATATATATATATATATATATATATATATATATATATATATATATATATATATATATATATACAATTTTGATGTTTGTGATTTACTTGTTGATTTCAGGTTGGTAATCACCACGGACTGATATCAGTTGGAGAAACATTGGGAACCTGTGAACACTGGACAGCTGTTTCGTGATAACATGGGACTTCTCAGCAGTATGAACCCATGACCCTGTCAAAAATGGAAACCAGGACCTCCAGGTTCTGCAACCAGCTCATCACCCTTGAACCACTGGGTTCGAATAGCATAGTTTACATTTCTTACTTCTATTAGTTCATGATAAAGCACGACCTCCATCCAATCCCGTCATTGAGTAACTGGCTAAATTGGCTGACCCCACCAGTCATGACATCTCATTGGAAACTCGGGAATTTCATCCCGAAGTAAGTCACTAATGAGTTAGAGATATCAGTCCATGATTAATACCAACCGTGATATATATATATATATATATATATATATATATATATATATATATATATATAATTCACCCACTGGATATTGCAGAAAACGTGGGAGAGCGTGTAGAACATCTCTATACCATACCATGGCAAGCTGAATACACAGAATGTATTTAGAATTTTAATGTCTTACAAATTAACATGCGACATTCCGAAAATTACCTCCAATCGAGGAAGTACTCATGTCTAAAACTGAGCAATATTTTCGGTTACTGATAATGGATAGTGAGAAGGGATGACATAGCAAGAGCAATGATCCAAGGTTCCTGAAGACATTCACAATATCATAAGAATTCTTAATAAATCAACCTACTTACCCTACAATCCTGTCAGTATTAGATATTTTCAAAAAAATCGATGTCAGTAAAAACAAAAAGTGATTTAACACCAATGTACATTTTACGGTAGACAGCTACGATGAATTCTAGAAGCGAGTAAGAGATGTTGATACAGTTGAAACATTATAGACCAAACCACGTCATATGATTCTCTAAAGTGACTGATATTAGCTGGTTGTTATCAAGCATGAGATTTTATACATTGTATCCAAATGATTACTATTTACGGTCTTATAGGTGTCTATAAATCCCTAACTACGCAGCAGATTCATAGAACGAATACAAAGGCAATGTTAGTTACTACTCAGATTTTTTACGAAGTTTTCGATTTAACAACAAAAATGTATCATTATGTCAGTAGGTTACGCAATATAGACCTCCGAATTTAGAATTAAAGAGAATACGAGGTCCTCAGGAAACATTTTCAATTAAAACGTATAATGTGTTGTTTCTTCTCTTGGCACAACAGACTGTACTTTAAAAAGCAACATGGATGAGATTGACAGTTGTTAACCTGCATTGGCCAATATTTGCTCGTTTGAAAACCCCTCACCAACACGATTATCATACTGAAACGCTGAAAAAACTAACTGAATAAAATTAGTTTTGTTAATCACAACAATAAACTTACCCTGTTAGATTTAAGAAATTCCAGTGCATTATCACCCATTCCAGTCTGCAAAATAATCAAAAAACAAATGATTGCGAAAAAAATGTATGACAATAATAAAGAATATAAGTGTTAAGGAAAATCACGCCACAATAGCATTCTATGGATGAAAGGAAAACAAACGAATTTGGGTGAGTGAGTGATGAACAAAGTTAGGTAATCCGCATCAGTTATTTAAACAGGAATTACTACCAAAGGGTCTACATAAAGCGGTAGCATCACGACGCTTACAAAACTATTCGCTCTAAAGAACAACAATATAAACATTGCTGGGAGCACGACAAACTGTCATCCAGTTAAACGCATATGGAACACTCCAACGAAGATGGTGGAAAGCTACTATGTATGACAAATTATTCACTAAAGGATTTTCAGAAACACTTTCATACTCCGATTATAAGGACGTCTGTAAGTGAACAGAGTTATCAGGAATTTTAAGAAAAATCACATTACCTCATCAATTAAGCAAGATTTAACCCACAACAAACAAAACTGAAAAGTAAAGTCAAGCTATTGGTACTGGATTCATCGTTTTAAGTTGCTAGTGATGTTAGTCACAGTATTGTCAACTTATAATTAATTTACGAAAAGGTTATAAATCAATCTTGTTAACAGAAATGTAAGAGTAAAATTTGTGCACTGTGATAGAATGCAATTCCATTTTTATTGATTTACTAGATACATCACACACTGTAACAGTATTGTTTACTGAATTACGTTTTAGATATAATTTATTGTCCATAGTCATATTAAGATAACTACACAATTTTAAGATATTCTTCATATGGTATTAATTTCCTCACCCACCTTGTGATTTCCCACAATCCGGAACAGATGCTTAGTCATTCCAGTTGCATGTATTAAGTGTTAATTCGATAAATAAAGATTCAGTTGTCAATCTTTCCCTCTACTCTGCATGTTAGTTTTAGTGATTTTCACCCTGTCCCATCCTATTATGTGGCTGTGTGTAACTGCATGCATAGCTATGGCTGAGCTTTTTTCTAAATTCCTTACGTTACTAGGATCTACTAATTTTGATTACAAACATCCAGGCCATAGTTGTTACGAATGTCCTCAAAGAAGTTGAGCGCCGAGTCAGGTTGGTTCACTATATACGTAAGTTTTAATATAATCCGAGGGTGTTTATAAAATCGAAAACAAGATTCTTCTAAACGTTTCGCTGCGTATGCCACAGCTTCTTTACCGGAATATTCGGATTTTTATTTAACACCAAAATATATACTGTCAAAAGGTACATGTAGAAATGTTTGTCTTTGTTATTGGCTAGCTGTTTTGTTGTTCCGACTGATTGCTTCCATTTAGTCATCGCAAATTCACAGTCTTCATCATTTGTCATCAAAAACGACTCAACGACCAACGTGCTAAGGTTTTGTGCTCGGATACCCTAACTGACCCTGATCGACTAATCTGACCTCGCAATCGTCGCAAGGGATTTAGTAAAATAAGTTATTCTGCTTAGTTGGATCAATGGGCTCTTTTAACCTACAAAGCTTATTTCGGAGTGAGTTTGTACGTTACTGTTACACTGTGATATGTCTGATAAATCAATAAAAATGGAATTGTTGACAGAAAATCGAGCAGAAATTACCACAATGGATTAAAAATCTTCGTATTCACTAGAAATCACTGCACTTTTCAGCTCTAAAATTACAGAACTGAGAATACTGATATTGTGCAGGAACATAACTGAATTCTAGAACAGTTGCCATTACTGAAAAATAAATCGAGCGCTACAAATAAAATAAACGACTGGAGACTCTGATATGACCTCAAAATTGATTAGCGTTGGTATAGATGCGTCTATTTCTTTAAAACATTGTAACGTAAGTACTCTTTATCCTAACCAATTATATTTCTCTTCATGTCTTAACTTGTTTTATACTGCCTGAGTACTATTTTTACAGTTTTTTAAAATGATTACTATTTTCCCTTCGTTGATTATGTACATATTGCGCTATTGACTGATTGTGTAAAAGTGAACCAGAACATTTTTATTAAACCGGTAACACGTTTTTGTAGGCTTTTTGGAACTAATGGTCATTTTGTGAAAAGTTGACTTCACTTGAAAATTTTGAATATGCAGTAATTCAAGTTAATTAAGCAGTGATTTTACGAAATAGAAAGAAATAAGGCATCAAAATAAAAATGAAGACAAAATGAAGTCGATATTGGAAAATATGAAATAAAATCGAATCCGATTATTCTAGTGTATATAGTTCTGGAACATAATACTGACTATACCTATAAAATAGAACATAACTGAAATTGTTACACACATCCACTATACGTTAATAAAAAGGCAGAAACTTTATGGGTTGCTACAGTATATTCATGTGGCTGAATAACTTTAGCCTAATAGCTTTATCGCCCACTCATTGATTCAACTAAATATGCCAAGCCATTTCAATGACCCATCACTAACACGTTACTGATAAACACCGTCTCAAATAAGTTAATTGGTGACAGTGAAAGGAATTCAAACAAGATATGACACCCAATATCGTCTATGATGAAACAAAATTAGTGGAAATCACTAACACGTCAGATTTGTTTATAATTTTCTAAAGCGAACACACCATGCAACTAAACATTCTCATATAAGTTTGTGTACTAGTCTACAAGTAACTAAAATAACTTAGCGATAATCACCCCGTCTAAAACCATTTACGTTATACATGCCTCGGAAAAAAGGCAAATAATCGACACTGATCAGCCAAAAACCCAAGTTTTAAGCTCCACTGTCGTTTGATTCCAAACACTAAATTACAATGAACAAGTGCTGAGTTATTTTGAGGAGTGAATACACCAGTATACATCAGTATAATTTGATGACCGCAAAAGACAACAAAGTTTAACAACGAAGATTAAGACAAACGGTAAAAAGTATTATGAATATTAAGGAACAGCAGAAACAAAATAACTTACACTCGGTCCAAATGAAACATAACCCAGTATCATAATCCAAAAAGCAACAAATTCACACAGAAACATGTAAATATAAACATCCACTTTTTTATTGTATCGTGGATCAGTCATTTTAAGATAGAATCGTCTAAGTTTTGAAAGTGGATTCCATGTTTTTCCACTAGGAATGAATAATGTGGTGCTTGAGGATATTGCTGAATGTAACTAAGATTATATGTACTAGTATGCAGTCCATCATCTACCTTCGATTTATTCAAACAAGGACCAGGCGATATTGTCTTCCGTACACTATAAAGTCAATAATAGTTATGAAGACAGAAGTCAGTATTAATGGGAGTAGGATTTGAGCAGAACTCATCTGAAAATAAACAACTATACCGATGACTTATTAAAAAAGTAAGAAAAAACAAAGCTGGTAAATATCATAATAGAAAATAGGGGAGAAACAACATAGGTGTTTTGATTTAATTTACTTGTAAAGAAATTAATAACAATCCCTATTCATAAAAAACAGTCCTGTGTTATCAAATTGTACTAGATATTACAATAATGAGATAAGGTTTATACAAGGTTTTTTAATCCCAAAGAAAAAATGAAACATATAAACAGAATATTTTAAAAGCACAGAATGGTTGACTTTAAGTTTATCACACGAAAAAAGATAAACACAAGAGTTATTCAAAAACGTGGATCTGAATGAGACTTTCCGGCATTTGACAAACTGAGGAAACTAGAGATGCGCCGTTCTATGTTTTAATTACTACCAAGTAATCGGTATTAAATCCAGTTACTAATGTTTGTCTACTAATATAGAACGATAAAAGTCACTAAAATGTCATGCTATAATTTTCTTCCTACGTCTTTCTAGCCTTATCAATGCATTTTTTGAAAATGACAAGTTGAAAACTGGTGAACTCCGAAAAAACTATTTAAGAACTTCCTACAAATCTTCCCTTTCACAAATTCAAATAAAGCCAATGAAGGAATAGTCAGTGTGTGTCAAAATAGCTGGTCATTGAGACAATCCAAAGTGGACAAGTTCCTAGTTCTTATTACATCCAACTGTATCTACCAGTTCACAAGCAAGTACATTGGGAAAATAAAGAGAAGGGTTAGCATTTCTGAACATATCCCGAAGAATTTGACTCTTAAAGGTGCACAGACTTTAAATAGAGTA